AAATAAGATCTTCATGACAAGAAAAGAAAACTTGATCTTGAAAGTAATGAAAATAAAAACGTTGAGTCTCAGTAAAAAATAACATTTTTTTCATTGATTTTTTCTTTTTTTAAGAAAGATAAATTTGTAGTAAAATTAATATTAACTTTTTGGTTTTTATTATAGACATTGTTTTGATGACTTGAAAATTATTCTTATACATTCATGGTATAAATTTGAACTTGAATCAAGTATATATACATAGGATCAAGGGCGCATATAGGTAGGATCAAGGGAGCATACTGGTATGTACCCATGATCCCAATTGAGTGTTTTTATAATTTTAAATCTTCTTAAAATATTCTGGTAAAAAATATGATTATTGAATTATAATAAGGTATAAAATTTGCTATTATGTACTGTTATTTTAGAGGTCAAAATAAAAATATATATTCAGTAAGTTGACCTGATAGATTTTTAGGATCATGGGTGCATACTCTCCCCTACTTAAGTAATTATGTAAAAAAAAAATTTTACTTTAGAAAACAACAATACTACAACCCTTGCTGAGCTCAATAAACATTGAACAAAATAAAGTTTAAATGAATTTAATTAAATAAACAAAATAAAGCAACATTAAACAAATTTAAGCATTAAACACAATTACTAATAAATAAATAGTAAACATTAAACAAAATTAACATTAAAAAATTTAAACATTAAACAAAATTACTAATAAATATTAAACAACATTAAACAAAATTACTAATAAATATTAAACAACATTAAACAAAATTACTAATAAATATTAAACAACATTAAACATAATTACTAATAAATATTAAACAATATTTAATAAATAAATAGTAAACATTAAACAAAATTAACATTAAAAAAATTTAAACATTAAACATAATTACTAATAAATATTAAACAACATTAAACAAAATAAAGTTTAATAAATATTAAACAACATTAAACAAAATAAAGTTTAAAAACACTTAAGAAAATAAAATAAAACTCTGTAGTGAACTTCTAATAAAAATTTTTATTAAAAAAAAGTTTTTTCTAAATAATAAAAATTATGTTTATTGTATTTTACTGAGCTCATTTTTTATAATTGGTGACCATTAAATTAATGTTAGATTACAGCAATGAAGCTTGAAACTAATGCTGCTGTTGAATATTTCTCCGCTATTTTATTCTCTCTAAATGAATAAATCTAGGAGAATCCAAAGAATATACATGAAGTATAAAAGCAGAAGTTAAGCAACATTGTACAAAAGTACATTGCTAAGATATAGATAGTTCATAACACGCAGTTCATATCACGCAATAACAAGATATAGACAGTTCATAAACGTTTGATTAGACGTTTCTTTTATAAAACAATTGACCGTTGAAAAAAAAAAAGATCAAAGAGATTGATTTGCAAAGTTCTTAGTAACAACATAAACATTGAAGTAACCGTGGGAAAGTATGATGCTAAAACACATGTATGCATCATCGGCGACCTAAAAATGACAGATGCACTTCAATCTTGATTTTAAAACTAATAGCACCAGCTCTCTCTCTAAATTGTTAGATCTAAATCTCCCTAACCTTTATTAAATATACTTGACTCATACTGCTACTTCTGTTATTCAAAGACATAATTAAGGGGAGGAGGGAAGGGTTTGGGTTAGTATAACCCATCAATCCTTTTTCATCCTCACTTTGAGATTGCAACATTAGAAAACGCAAAAGATGGAATAATGTGATAAATCTATTGTTCAGACCGTAGATCAGAAGAAGATGCTGGTAGCAATAGTACGGACAATCTTCACCTTCACTATATATGGATATTGATATCTTCACCTTATATTGATATAAGATATTTATTAGTATCTTATATATTACGTTATGTAGGGTGAGTTTTCGCAAGTGTTACGGAAGAGCAACTTAAAAATTGGGAAAATAAAAATGCAAAGATGTTGTGACTATTTATAAAAAAAAAGTTTACTAAAGTTAATAGTTTTTATAAAAGCGTAGATTTTTTTAAAATCAATTGAACTCTGATACTTTACGGAACCCGCGTATTGAACTCCGCTATAAAAGATTAGTTGTTTTTTTTGAGTTGATGTTTTTTTAATATTTAAGATTTAAAACCTTTATTTAGAAATATTTACAATGATTTTACAAGGAATGTTTATCGTATGACAAGGCTTGCGAAAACGAAATTGTAAGACAAATAGTCCATGGTTTTAAATATTGATTAACTTGTATATTTTTTGCACTGGATTCTATATCTGTAATCCACAGTTTTAGTAATACAGTAAGTACATGGCTGAAGTTAGAAAAATAAAAAATAAAAGACAAAGAAATGGGTCTTTATTTTCCAAAAACATTTTTTTTTTGTTAAACAATGTTCAGTTGTTGTGACTTATATTATATACTGCACTCCCTGATTTTGTAATGCTGTATGTTACTACTAATTGAATGTTAATTATAGTAATAAAAATAAATCTCTTTAAGATTTTTTTGAAGCATAGAAAGAATTTATTAATTTAGATAAGTTAACAATGACAAGATGGTCAATGTTCAGAACATACAACAATATATTTGTATTCAGGATAATACTTTTTGGAATTGCAAATAGCCAATTGGAATTGTGTCTTTGTGTATATGTGTATATATGTGTGTGTATACATTGTGTGTGTGAGTGTTTGTATATGTAGGTATGTATATATATATATGCATATATATATGCATATATATATATTTATATATAAATATATATATATATATATATATATATATAAATATATATATATATATCTTATAAATATATATATATATATATATATATATATCTTATAAATATATATATATATATATATATATGCATATATATATATATATATATATATATATATATATATATATATATATATATATATATATATATATATATATATATATATATATATGCATATATATATATGCATATGTATATATATATATATATATATATATATATATATATATATGCATATATATATATATATGCATATATATATATATGCATATGTATATATATATATATATATATATATATATATATATATATATATATATATATATATATATAAATCTTGTATAAAAAATATTTGTATGTACATTCAATATTGTGTTGAATTATATTTGTTGAAAATACTGATTTATCTTTAAATTTGTTTTTGTTTAGCGTTTCATAGAGGTACTATGCCATTTTTATATGAAAAAAATGATACAAGGCAATATATAAATTATACTGAAAGATAATTTTGTGGTAACAATAAACATTATTAGATAAAGAAATTATTAAATGATCATTGGGTGCAAGTTGTCACTTTGTATAATAAAGTTTAAAAACTTAATCCGAAAACACGTCCAAAGTTGAAAGTCCAAAGTTTTTACAAATATGCAACATGATTTGTTACGTCAATCGTGTTTAGTGTTTCTGGTTAAGTTGCCTGTGGTTATGTTTATAAAGCTGACCATTTATGCACAACAAGAACCGAAGTTGACCACCTAATGTATATACAATCAAAAATACAATCAAAGCCAGAACAGTTTGATTCTATTCACTTTTTTGACTGGTTTGTTATTGTTTTTTGTCAAATTGTAGGAGCATTCCTATTAGTTAAATTTTTTAAAGTAATTTTTATAGTGAAAAAGTACTTGAATTTACTAAAGAAAATAGTATCTTGTTGAGAAAGAAACAGTATCTTGTTCTATAACTGGTAACTCTACCAATTTATTGCAATCTCTTAATGTTGCATTTTATTGATCTCTTAAAAAATATTTAAAGATAATACTTGATCAATTGGAAACATTTTGTTTAAAAAATGCACAGACTATTACAAAAAATAAATCTTCTTTGTTCTTTATTTACTTATAATCATTATATTTGTTAAATCAAAAGGTAATAAACAACTTAGTTGCTTAGTGGTTTTGAAAAAAATATGGGAGTTACCCATTAGATATTCATCTAATATCATCTTCAATCATTGGCCAGATAGTTATAACTTTAGTTCACCGAGCAGTAATTAATGTACTTTAACAATTTTTTTCATGTTGATGTAAAGGAAAAAGCAGACTCAAAAGGGAAAAAAAAATTACTTTTGATCTTGTTAAAAATATTTCTTTTGAGGATTTTTGGCAAAATATAAAGATGTTCCTCTTGCAAAGTCTATAAATGAAACTGATGTAAATGAGACTTTTTTTTATGCTAGTCCACTTAAAAAATACCCATTTAAACAAAATAAAATACTAAATGGGTGTTTGTTATGAAAAAATGTTATATTATTTTAGCAATAATAAATTACTGTGAAACTAGACTGTTGTTCTTATTAAATTTTAAAACAAAACAAGGCGTTTTTGAATAGGTTTTGCTTTTACAAAAAACGCATTCAAAGTTACCCCATTTGGGGGTAACTTTGAATGACTATTTAAATTAATATTATACAAAATACTTTTATTTAAATAATATTTTGGATTTGAATTATGTAAGAGTCAATTTTAGCCCCTATATTCACTTTGTTAAATTTCAAATATTGTCAATAGTGAAGGAAGAGCAAGTAAAAATATCTCTTAAACGTTCAAAGTAACCCCGTTTTACGGTATAGATTTTGATATTTCTTGGATTTCAAAGAATTTTAAAAGTTCTTACTACATTTTAAAAGATTAAAAAAATATTTTAATGCATTCCAAATAAATCTAGCGTTTGCATCATAATCTCATTATATTTTAAAAGTATTTACATAGAGTTTAAAAATATTTTGTTTAATTTAACAATATTTAGTGGGTAAGTAATTTGTTACTAAATAATGATTATTGGGTCCCCAGTTTTATGCTAACTGAACCCTCTCTGCGTGTAATTAAGAGTCATTTTTGTAAACTAAGTATTTTTATGTAAACTTCACTTAATGTATACATTTCTATTATATACATGCATGATATTTCTATTATAGCAAAATAAAAAAATAAAAGCATATAAATAAATTAATAATTTTCTTTATTTTTATTAAATTTTTCACCATTTTTAATTTAAATTTTTATAATTATTTATCTAACAACTTGGTGTGATGCATTTTACGCGAGACTTTTCTTTGCGTCGTCCAATCGTCTTTTTCCGATAAAACTCATTGGAAGCTAAAAGCGATTTTAAATATTTTGTATATATAAATACATATATATTTTTATATTTATTGTTAATAAATAGCTAATAAATAAAAATTTACTTCTTTTTTTTCATCTTGCGTTACCTCATTATTTTTTTCAGAACTTACTAGCCAACCAATAAGTTCACGCCATGATTTTTCTTCATCCTTATCAATCTGCAAAAATATTTTTATCGTGGTTTTAACAACTTTAATGGTATTTATTACTTACTATTGTCTTATTGACTTTTAAAAGAAAAAATGACATGTATGAAAAATAACATTTATCTAACCGCTTCTTTTTTAACTTCTTCTAATTTAATAGAATCTGATTCTCTTTTGTCAAATCTTGGTAGCTATTAAAAAATGAAAAGAAAATTATAATTAAAAACATATCATATTAGTTATTTTTGTTCCACTTGTCTCGTTTATTTGTCTCTTTGCATTAAAAAAATAAAGTGTTTTTTTTTAAAAAACAAACAAACAATTGTTTGCTGTTTCTACAATAAAAATAAAAGTATAGTAAAAATATAAACAAAATATTGTGTAAAGTATCATATTTTTATTACGTAAAACTCCGTTAAAATATAAAGGATAAAAGGATGTAGATTAAAACGAATAAAATAAAGAAAAAAAAAACAAGTACATCTAAAAAGTTAATATAACAGTATATTACAATATATTGTTATACTAACGTTAAAAGCTAGTTATCTCCGCTAGAAATAATGAATAAAAACTTTATAAGTTACACATATACATATATATATATATATATATATATATATATATATATATATATATTATATATATATATATATATATATATATATATATATATAAAACTAACCTCTTTTTTGATTTCATTTGATTCTCTCTTATCAAATCTTGGCAACTAAATATACATAAACATTAATAAAACAAAACAACAAAAAAAAAATTGACTTAAGCATATGCAAACATTAAGTTTATTGCACTTTCTTTTTATTAAACAGAAAAGATTTTTACTTGTACCGTAGAATAAACTATTTTATATCATATATAATTAAGTTATATTAAATTTTTTTGATACGTTAGTTTGCAAATATTTATTAAAACTTATTGTTTTATTTTTATATGAAATAAATCAAAACAAAACACAAAATATACCTCGTCTTTTTTATCTTCATTTAAGCTGATTTCACTTGATTCTTTTTTATCAAATCTTGGTAGCTAACATAATAAAAAAAGATAATATAATGGCCAGAAAGAAAGTCCTCACTTCCACCTCTAGTAAACTAACAATAGTTATATACATATATATATATATATATATATATATATATATATATATATATATATATATATATATATATATATATATATATATATATATATATATATATATATATATATATATATATATATATATATATATATATATATATATATATATATATATATATATATATTAGGTTTTATCATTATTTTTTCTTACTTCTTCTTCTTTTTTCTGATCTTGTAAATCTGACAAATCGCTTTCTTCTACCATGTTTAAAATGAGTTTATTTAGCTCACGTGCAGTTAGTTCTTCACTTTCATTAGATTCCGAACTATCACTGTTCTAAAAGTATATATATATATATATATATATATATATATATATATATATATATATATATATATATATATATATATATATATATATATATATATATATATATATATATATATATACATACATACATACATATATATACATATATACAAATATATAATATATATATATATATATATATATATATATATATATATATATATATATATATATATATATATATATATATATACATACATACATACATATATATACATATATACAAATATATAATATATATATATATATATACATATATACAAATATATACATATAAACATATTTATACAAAATACCTTTTTATAAAATATAAAATATCTTTCGTACTTACCGACATTTCACGTTTAGATTTCGCAAGTTTTGACTTAACAAAGGCCCCAAACTTGTTCCAAGGAGGACTTTTTTTTACAGAAGATATACTTTTTTTACCTGGTCCCATATTTCCTGCACTAACAAATAAGCTGTCTACTGTTAGTACAACCAAGAAAAAGAGAAACAAGCAAAAAACATTTTTTGTTGCCGAAGAATGCATTTTCATTACGTTCTGAAACCTAAACTGTTCTTCAACTTGTTTGTAAACTGGCTTTATATATGCTAAAGTTTATATAAAATGTTACATTTCAATATATTTTGATTGTATAGCGCTACACGTTAAAATAATTAAAAGACTGCCTACAGCGCCAAAGATACAGACCAAACACCTGTACGTTTTAAACAAAGATAACATTGAAATTAAAACAGATAACATTGAAACAAAAACAGTTTTAAATATATTTATTGTATATTTATACTACGGGGTCTTCTACGCCACTGATTTCACGCCACTGATTTGATTTGTGAACAATGCATAATTGTGATGTTCTTTGAAAAGCTTATTGTTAAACTAAAACAGAAATCTATATTTGACAAAAATTTATCAATTTCCAGGTGATACATTGTTTAATGAATTTTAAAACAAATCACAAAAATGTTATTAGAAAATTGTTTTGTATTATTTATTTAATTATTTACTATTTATTTTATTATTTAAATCTTATTACCTATACAGTTTTCTTGTAAACTCCGGAAACACAAAATTAATTTTAAGAAAATTGCAAAAACATTAAGAAAATCAAATTTTATCAATTCTCTTGTTTCTTTTACAATACGTTTATAATACGTTTATAATATTATCATTTTATCAATACGTTGTATTTGCTCTAAAAAAATCCTTTAAACTACCTAATATTTTAATTTTAGCTTCGTTCTTTTTGTCCTTACTCATTACGAGACAATTTAATTTCAAGAATTATGTATACTATCATATATAATAAACTATACGTTTACAATGTTTATTTTTTGGCATTAATTATGTTTATTTTAACGCATATATTATGTTAGTTTTTACGCATACATTATGTTATGTTTTTACGCATATATTATTTTGTGTAACTTATTATATTTCATACTATATATACATTAGATTTAAAAAGCATTGATATAAAAAGTTTTTAATATAAACTAATACTTGGGTTCAAAGCTTTCACATTTTTTCATAGCACTGAACCTACAAATTACATTTATATTATTTAAGGACCCCTGTTCGGGCACCAAGACTCTAGACAACAACCCTGCAGGCGGCATTATATAAGGATCATTATTTGGTAAACCTATGTATTGCAATGCGTTACATATTAAATTATTTGGCGCCACTCTTTTGGCTGATTTTTTTAAATACCATTTCAATGATAAATTTTTTTTTTTATACCTAATACTTTCATTGCTTTACAATAATTTTTTTTTTTTTTTTGTTTAACATTATAATCCTTTTTTTTGTTTAACATTATAATCCTTTTTAAATTACTTAGAAAAAAGATTTTTTGGAAAATAAATTTTAAAAAAATCATGGTTTTATTTTATTTACACAGTTTTTATGATATAAAGCTAAAAACTTTATAGTAAATAAGTGGAAAAATGAATATAAAAATACGATTTTTTAATATGTATACTTTTTTATTTTATTATTTATTTTTTTATTTTGTATAGCTTTCTAAAATGTCAATTTGATTCAATTCATTGATGAAGTTTTTTTACAACTGTTTTAATCAATTTGATCAGTTTGGTTCAACTTGGTAAAAAAACAAGAAAGACATCTTTATCAATTTTGTTGCCTTAAAACTTGGCGTTTGTTTTGTAAAATTTTATTCATGTTAAATATTTGAATCTTACTTAGAATAATGAAAACTTCCTGTTTACAAAAAATCGCGCTAAGAAACTTCGTCATCTTCGTTGTTAATATTGGGCCAAAATTTGCTGGAAAAATTTCAGTTCAAATCAACAAAATTTGATGATAATTAAAAAAAAATTAGTATATTTGTGGAAAAATCTTAAAAAAAAAAGGAATTGCTAGCTTTTATTAGTCGTGAAAAAATAAAAACAAATGAGATTAAAATAATATTAATCTTATAAAAACTGTATTTTATGACCTTTATTAATTCATATCTTTAAACATTCTCTTAATTCAGATATTGTTTCTGACCAGTTAAAATTACTTGATCTACAACAACTTTTTAAGGGTCGTCGTGATGATCGTGATTTTAAGGGTCGTCGTGATAATCGTGATAATCGTGATAATCTCTAAAATTACAGACTAATTTCTAACTCGCCTTGATTCTCAAAAATATTTAGACCTATAATTTATAACAGACTAGATAGTTATTTGTCAAGGAACAACATGTTGTATATTAAATAGTTTAATTTAAAATGTGTTTAACTGAACACAAAGTGGTCAAACAAGACATATCTAACACTCTAAATAATGATTACTTTGCATTAAGAGCTTTCAGTGATCTGTCTAAAGTCATTTAATAAGTTTCCCTTGGCTCTGTTTTAGGCGCTGTATTAGGGTTGCTATTGTTCCAACTTAACATGTACTTATCATCAAACTTTAAAATATTAGTTTATTAAAAGTTTAGATAACTCCAATCTATTTTACTCACACAATGATATTAAAAACAACTTTATAAAACTTATTTTAGACGTATTTTAAAAATGTATTAAAACGTATAAAAACGTTTTTATGCAAGAAAGCCCTCATAAAAAACCCACCATTATCTTATCGAAAATCTTTAAGAATTTGCCACAAGATTACAATTAAGTCATACTATTGATGCTCAAAGTATGATTCAAACTGAAACTGATGACTGGTATGCAATTATGTAGCTTAAAACGACTTGTTGTATTGTGCAATTCCTTGGTATTCAACGATGAGCTTTTTCTGGAACAAGTGTAACAATTTTTAAAGAAAATAATGGACACTTATTAAAACTTGTTCAACAAGTTTCAAATTTTGACACTGCTCTTTCTAAACATCTTTGTCAGGTACAGTTAAAGAAACTCATGTACATTATTTAAGCAAAATAGTTGAAAATAAGTTTATTGGTCTAATTTCCTGTAATGTTACTGAGTATATTTTGTGAGAACTGAAAAAAGCTTTTTTTCAACTTAACATGTATTTATCAGCAAACATTAAAACATTAATTTTTTAAAATTTCAGATGACTCCGATCTATTTTACTCAATGATATTAAAAAAACTTTATGAAACGTTTTTTTAGACGTATTTTAAAAACGTATTTAAACGTTTAAAAACTTTTTTACGCGTGTAGTAAAAGTGAGTGGGGTGAACAGCTAAGTGGGACTGCAAATTAAAAGCAACAGTTATTCAAAATTTATCATTTTTATTGATTATCAATTATTAGAGCAATAAATATGATAAATAAAAAGCAATTTTTATAAACCTTATTAAAAAATAAAAATTTAGGGCAAAAATAAAACCATTAGTGTTTGGAATTATCTTACGTAGGGGAAGGTTGCGTAAGATGAGCAGGTTCCTAAGATGGTATATCCTCTTTTACGCGTAGAATAATGATATTTTCGCAAACTTTTTTGGTTTACGATATTCATACAAGTTCGACGGTGTTATTTATTTTAATTTCTTGGTTGTTTAGGTAATATTCTTTGATTGTTTTACTGTTAAAAAAATTTACCATCCCCGTTATAATTTTTTATTATTCAATATTTTGTAATTTCATGGGTTACTTGAGATAATACATAAGCTGTTGTCATGTTATTTAAATTATGATAGTACTTGATGAAGTTGCTTAAGATGATGCGTTTTTAGGAGTCGTGGTTAAGCTTCCTAATTGGGTGGGGTCCATCATCCCTAATTAAATAATGAAAAGATCTGGTATAAATTCTTATGTAACTGGTATTGGAGTTACATAAGAATTCATATCACAAAATAACCCTGTTCCTAATGTTACTTAAAGTTGACTAGTGACCTTGGTAGGTCTTTTTCTACTCTTTTTATGGCTTTGACCTTTCAAAATAAGGTCTTAATACTATAGTTTTTTTAATTATGTGGACCTTTAGTTTATTTTTTGGTTTAAAATCAAACAACTCATCTCCAAACGAGATGTAGTTAAAGAAGAAAACATATGAATTTTAAACAAAAATGATTTCTAGAAAAGTAATTTTTTCTTATATTTAAAAGAAGTTCTTCTTTGGACGTATTTTTGATTTGCATAATTCTCTTAGGACAAGTAATAATTATTGCAACACTACAATTCCCTTGGACATTATTTTTAAAATTATACGTATGCTAACAATTTTTTTAAATTAAATAATTAACAACTTTATATTTGTTCTGAATTATAATTCCAAATTTAATTAAATTAAAATGTATAACTTAAATTTAAAATTTGGTCAAATTTGTATTCAATTAATCTGAATTCAAAATTGAAAACCGAATTTAAATTTAGATAAACTTATTTTTGATATCAAGTTACCAGTTAAACACAAATGTTTACCAAGTTACCAGCTTAAGGTAAATATTTACTAAGTTGGAAAATTTATTTTTTGTTAGATACTTAAATAAACATTTGAATCCTTTTTTATAGGTAATCCATATTTTATTTTTAGATATGAAATGCTATATTCCGTAATTTTATTAAACTTCCGAACTGATTAAAAATACGTGTTACTTACATTTGCTCTAAGATAACAGTTTTCATTGAAGATAATAGTTTTCATTTCAAGATAACAGTTTTCGTTCCGAATTTGTTAGTATTATTTGCCAGAGAGAGATTATTGTTGAATCTATACATAAAAATAAGAGCTGATGGATATTTATTTCAAATAAATTCATTACTTTCATATTTTTCATTAAGGTTTGTGCGTGTTCACGCAAATCTTTGGAGTAAATGATTCAGCTAGCAAGTTTTTGTTAGCTATAAATTTTGAGTTTTGATAATTGTGTACTTGCTAATGATAAAGCAATCAAATAGCTCAAAATAAATTAGTATGAGATTTTGTTTATTGACGTATGAACGATCATACTAACATTTTAGATAATAGACTTGAAATATTTTGTTTGAAAAAAACAAAATAAACTTTTATCAACAAGAATTTGTATGAATCTGAAACTGACTTCTTTAAAATTAACTTATCAATTATGATAAAATCATGCAACTTATAAGGAAAGTTTTTTTTCTTGAGTTTTTTTACGAAACAATATATAATTCGTTTTTTCAACTTAGATGAGCATTTGTTTGCCGT